CTAGTTAATCAGTAGCTCTCCATCCCACCCTAACAGCCGTATGGGTGCTCCAGGCCCAGCGTTATATGGGAAAAGTGAACAATTTCATGTCTGCATCTGCACAAAATCTTTCTAAAACTAGAAAAGCAAATGGCACTCTTCATCATGTTTTACTGTTCATTCATTTGGTGAGTTCAGAGTTTCTCAAGAGTCCATCCATATAACATATTTTTTCCATCTCTACAGTATGAGTTAAATGGAACCCTAACATCTAAACAGTACATCAGTGTTTTGTATGCAGCAGAGAAGGAAAGAAAGGAGATTCAGCTTATTTTAAAATTAAAAAATAAAAAACCATAGTTGAAAGGGGCAAGGTTCCTTCTGCCCACACTGAGATCACATTCAGCTTAATGACAAATTATCTGCTCTGTCACGAAGTGGAAACAAACTTCAATTGGAAAACACCTTTCACCTTTTGACCTAGGCCCAATACTGCAAAAGCTCTGACCCCTAAACTGGATTTTGTCATACAGCAGTAACACACAATACTTCAGCACCTTCTGCAGCACATAAAAGACATTCTCAGTGATCTGTAATGAGTAGAGTTGTGCAGAAAGCACATTTCCAGGTGTTTTACCACAGAATGATGCAGAAACCAGAGTGCATTCCATGTCAGGAGAGTTCGGCATCTACTCTGTGCTCGCTACTCACACAAAACCACCAGTACACGGCCCAGACTTGGCAGGACTCTCAGAGACACATGCTTATGCTTTTGGCAGAAGGGAGCTGACCACTTGCAGCATCAGTGTCCTCTGCCAGCTGGCCAAAGAGCACACAGATGCAAGGGAAGCAAATTATCTGCCCACTGGCAAAGAGAAATGCTGAACAGCACCTTAGGAGAAAGCGTGTGTGCGCATGTGTTCCCGTGTGCGAGTCAGTCTGCGTGTGAGCGTGTACACACACACACCTGGGCTTTGGGAAAGGGAGCAGTACAGTCAAACTGGGAAAACTGGCTGCTACTATTTCTGTGGCATCATTTTCTGCAACATTCTCACAACAGTGAACAGGCACTTTTCCCATTAAAATCTTCCAAGTTGAATTTTAAAGATTAAACACAAGGACAGCAAAGATGCTGAAGTTTATTTTTCCAAGAAAGTCTGAAATCAGACCCCTTCAAGAAAGGACCCATACAATCACTTACAGAATTTTAGCAACTTAAGCTCAGCATGCCTTTGCATCTTCCCTCTTTATTTATCTCTTGAAGAATGAGAGCTTGTGAAAAAGCTCTCATTCCCACTACACATCCACATTCAGTAAAACACAAAAAGCCTTCTGGGTTCAGAAGACATATTTAAAAAAAACTCAGAAAAACTAATGGGACAAGAATTTGCAGCTGATAGGTTAGGTTTAGCTGAGAGATGGAATCTGCTGGTAGATTAATTAGATTCTGCAATCACAGCCCCTTTTCATCCGCACGCATCCCACCACTATCATTACATGATCAACAGATTTTAATGAAAACTAATGCTTTCTTTTGAGAAATCCCATGGAGACTATGTATAGGGTTGAGTTTACTTTTCAAAATATCTCTTGAAGATTGTACATAATGCGAGTGCACATTTGTTGGCTGTAAAGGTGTACAACAGCAATTTTTTGCAATGACAGTGCAGAGAGGGAATATGAGATCTGTGTGCTAATGAGCTGACACTGCAGAGGCTGGAGCAGTGTTAGTATAGTGCACTACAAGTGCAGAGCAGAACGACATACGCGGGTTATTTCCAGGGAATACGATCTACAGAGCTATACACACAATTCAACATCAATACCAACACCCTTCATCGGGGGTTATAAGAGAAACATGAAAGATGTTGCTTCAGTGACAAATTTATATATTTGAGTTGTTATATTAATATTGCTTTAAAAAAGCCAGCTCACTCCCTACATGAGCATTTTAAAAGAAAATATAACATGATTTTGATTTTATACGTTCATAGATCAAGATAACTTCCTCTTTGTTTCTTCTGATAGCAAAAAGCTGCATATTTTAAAAGATGTAATAATCTCCCAGGAGCCAATGATAAACTTCAATTCACCTTTAAATACACAGGAATTTTCATCTGTGTTTGTATTTGTTCTCTGTTAAGATATCATACAGCTAAATAAATAAGTGGGCAGATAAATAGGGTGGATGAATACTGTATGAATGTGTGTAAATTAAATATACAGAGAGGGGCTCAGTGGTAGCAGTGAAGCAGGGAATACATGTACATAAATCAGATTATGCATCATTTAACTGAAAAGGGAATGAGAGGGAGGGGCTTAGGGCAGGAATTTTCTTCTGCTTCTAAACAAGTTTCTTCCCATGTTGGGATATTGCCAAATCAGCCATACCAGAGGTGGGCACTTTTTCTCTGGCTCATGAGAATACTTCAGAAGAGGTTTTCTTCTCTTGCCTCTGGAATGCACCAAATTGCATCAAGCAGGATGTGCAGCTGTACAGTAAGAACATAAGTCTTTTCTGAGCAGAGCCCCCTCGATTCCTGCACACATGAACACTACTACAGTCACTACCATATAAATCAAAGCAAAGGAGAATGAGAAGTATTATTTTATGGATACTGACTAGTACAGGCACCAGGCTCAAGCCATACATGCTACTTTCTCCAATTTCCCCTCAGTTCCTGTACTCATCCCACCACAAAGGCAGCCCCAGTCTCCCTCTCCAGTGAAGGCAGGCAGAGTCACTGCAGGTTTCTCTACCATGGATCCCTGCCAATTGCAAATATTGATCAAACGGCTGTGTGACATCACTGGAGACAATACATGCTTATCTCCAACTGAGGCAAAAACCTTGTGGAAAGAATTCCTTCATGGGTATGGTAACACCCTGAAATTATCTGCCACTCCACTAGGAAGCAAGGATGTGATTAAAGGTACTCAGGTTGGAATGTTAACCAGGTAGTAGGACAAGCTTTTAGTTCATCCCAATGCATTGATACACATGAGCATTCTGACTTGCAAAGACAATTGCTTCCAGATTCAAAAGAGCAACTGTTCTGATATTTTTTTTATATATTTTGAGCTACTGAAAACCTATGTGTGGTGACTTGGACTCACCATATTCTTTTCCTAACAACAGTATCATGAGATGGTTGACACAGCCATGGACAAGGTCACCTTTTAATTTCCTTTCTTCTGTTTCTTTTTTTCCCCACATCTTCTACTTTTAAATAGGTTACTGTAGGTTCATGTTCTCTGGTCTACAGTTCCTCCAGAGATTTAAGTTTTCCCAGCTTTACTACACTGGTAATATGGGTGTTGGAATATGCAGCCCTATAGTACAGAAAACAATCTCACCTTACTAAAATCACCACAGCTTTAAATAAGCAATGACAAAAATCATTAGATGTCAGAAGATGAGTAGCACACTGACTAAATATACTGACTGCCCCTAAACAAGCGTGTGGTTCACTTGTCTTGGTGGGATCTTTAAAGAAGTGCTCGTAGAACTTTTAAAAAACAATTAATAATTAATCACCTAAGCAGTTCAATGTATTTAGTTTAAATCCATATAATTGATATTTAGGAAAGTGTGTTTGAGATATAGCCTCTTGAAGGGATTACACTGATTAAGGATTAATAGTCTGATGTTTGTTGTAAGAGCTGTTGAGGCTGGATAGGATTAGTAAAATAAGATGCAAAGTAGAGACACGCTTTTATTTACCATTTTTTTCACTTTACCAAATATTTTTAATGAATACTGATAATTAACCTCTCTGCAAAACTTTTAAAGGTCCTAATTCAAAGCCCTTTGAAAAGCCCTTTGCTGCACTAGCAAGAAGTAGTCACATGGGGGATATGTTAGAATATCAATCCAAAATTTGTCCAAATATTTTCATATTGTATATTTTCTAACCATCAACTTTCTCAAAATATACAGTGGGACAGGAATATAACAACTATTCTATCCCCAACAACCAAATAAACAAACAAATAAGATGTTCAAAACATGAAATTGTTTTAAAGCAAAAGATATGTGTTCTGTACTCCAGTGCTTCATTATATTAGTATATAATGCTTCCTGTTTGCACATTTTATACTGCGAACATAAACCTGCATATTGTGAGAGGAAACCTGTTTCAACACAAAGTTAGTACGTTGCAGTCAAAGGTCCTTTAGATCATGTACAGACATAAATCTGCACATTGCAAAGTGCATCAACCACCTTGCAAGGGGACTCCTTTCATTTTCAAAGGTTCACAGTCAACATTGTATAGAACCGAATTTGGAGACATCAGTAAAAGAAATATCCAGGAACCACTACTGGGTAAAGGAAAGCTTTTTAGAATGCAGAACACGCACAAGTCTTTCCGAAAGAGATTTCGCATTTTAACACCACATTAGCAATACTCAAAGTTCTGGTTTGCATCTTCTGTTAATAACAGCTCAAATTATACGTATGCACTGCTTGTACAGAGCTATTTCTCATAATGCCAAGTGTTCTGATCCCATTTTCTCTCCCCTCAGCTCTAACAGTATCTGTCATTTTCCAGTCTCCTCAGCTTTTCACAGGACTTTCACTGTAAGAAAACAACTCAGTATTTCAGGGCAGTAAGCCCCTCTATCTTTGTCCCCTCAAGGTCACTTCTAAACACTTGTTTCTGATCTTTTCCTACATGGCATTGTATGCAAATTATGCCTTTTCACACACCCAGGTTCTAGCCTCAACAGAAAAGGGATCTTCAGCGGCAATTCACTGATCACAGCTACACAGCACTGATATACCAACAACATGGTTGTTTTTCTGGAAAACAAAACTAAAGGGATGAAAAGAAGTGGTGAGAGAACTTTTCCTAAGGTACTATTCAACCACATAATGCTGCAAATCTACTAAACCTCAAGTCACTGCACACATTTGTTGCACTGTATTGCATGACTGAGAACTCTAGGCTACCAGGGAGAAACCGAATGTAAAGATACATAAAAAATAAACATCTTTTAAAAACCGTGTATTTACTTACAAGCATTTGTCACTGAAAAACTGTTGGAAGAGTCCAAGTGATCTACGTGATAGTTCAAATGGAAGGGCTTTTCTGTGGTATTTTGGTTTGTGTTGTATAACTGCACAGCAAATCGAAATGCACTGTGCTCCTGAACAGTGTTCCTCATGAAAAGTCCACCTAGAATGGAAAGAAAAAGGATAAAAAGGGAAAAGGTATTTCAGAATGAATTCTGAGGAGAAACAGTGGCAATAAGTTACATTTGCATGCTGCACACCGCAGGAAAAAATGAACAGGAGCAGGCTGAACCTGAGCACATAACTCTGACAGAGCACCTACATGAATTACATATTCCAAGTCCAAAGTTAGGCTTTTAAAGCCACACATCACATCCAAGTGCCCCCGAGCGATGGGAGTCGCTGGGAGCTGCAGGTGCACCCTGAAAACCAGGCCACTTCCACACGGATGCCCACACAGAGATTTAAAAGTCTAACTTGGGGGACCGTGGCTCCTAAATCATCTCCAGACTACCGAAATATCGCCACTGTAGAGTTATGTGCGAGGACACGGCGGCGTGGCAAACGTGCGGTTTCACGGTCTGGTGGAGCGATAGCACGGCCGAGCCAAAGGATGCTCCGAGGGACGGCAGGGAACAGCCCCCGCTTCACTCGCTGCCCTCAGCCTCACGGCTCGCTCGGCCCCGGGTTTAGGGCACGTCGCTACAGATTCACGCCGTGACTCTCTCACATTATGTGCTCCACGGGATGCGCCGCTCCAGGGCACGGCTCCGCAGAGCGCGGACCCGATCCCCGCCGCTCGCAGGGGAGCGGGAGCCCGGTGCCGCTCGCAGCCGCCCCGGGCACCGCCGCTGCCTCTCGCCCCAGCGAGGGGAAGGACCCGGAGCGGGGCTGGCTCCTTCCCGGCGGCGCCCGGGCTCGCCCCCCGCTCCCCTCCGCACAACTTCCCCGCGGCTGGCGGGGAAGGCGCGGGTCGCGGTGCCGCGGCGGGCGCTTACCTATACTGATGGTGTTGGGGAACCCCGCCAGAGCCTCCCCCAGCAGCCCCGCCAGCAGCAGCAGGAGGGTCCGGGGCGCGCTCTGCCCCATTTTCTTCAGCCCCTGCGGTTCAGCCCCTAAACCGAAACTGGCGGCACAGGCATGGGCGCAACTGGAGACTCGGAGCGGTGTCAGTGGTGGTGGCGATGCTGGCGGAGGTGGTGGGGAGGATGGTCCCCCTCCTTTCTTCCCTTCTTCTTTTTTTTTTTTTTTTTTTTTTTCCTCTTTCCTTCCCCAAATCCCTCTGCTCTCGTCTTCACCCCAGCCTGGCAGGGCTCATTGGCTGCGAGATTGCCTTTCTCCCCCCCGTCTCCAGCAGCCCCCCCCCAGCGCAGGGACTTCCCCCAAAGATGGTGGGTAGCGGAGCCGGCGAGGCTGCTCCGCCCGGGCCGGGAGGGGGTTATCGATCAAACTTGGCGTGAGGCGGGCTGGCAGCCGCTCCGCTCCGCTCGGCCCGCCCGCCCAGCCCCGGCGCCGCCGTCTCCCGGCCGCGGCTCCGCGCTCGGGGCTGCGGTCGGCGGGAGCGCACCGGCCTCACGTGGGGCGGCCCCCGGGCTGCAGCTGCCCCTTTAAAGCTGCATCGCCTCGGTGTGTGTGTGTGTGAGAGTGAGTGCGGTGCGTGCGCCTGTGGGCGGGCGGGGGAGGGAGCGAGCAAGGGAAGGAGGGGCGGGAGCCGCGCAGAGCCGGGGCCGGCAAGAGAGGCCGGGCGGGTGAGGAGGAGAAGGCGGTCGGGTCCTGGTCCGGCCCGGCGGGCGGTGCGGGTGCCCCAGGACCGCGGGCCGAGAGGCTGCGGAGGCGCTTCGGGGCCGGGGGCGAGAGGCCCGGTGAGGGCCGGGGCAGGCGGGCGGCGCTGGGCCCCGCCGGAGGGGAGAGCCGGGAGCGCACGGGCTGCCGAGGGAGGGCTGGAAAGGACCACAGCAAGGGATGCCCGAGCACTTTCCCGGAGAGGCTGCTTGCCCTGCGCCCGAGTGCTCCCCATCCCTCTCCATCCCTCCTCGTCCCTCCTCATCCCTCCCCATCCCTCCTCCAGTGCCAGCGCCTCTGCACGGAGGCATCATCCGCCCACTGTGCCATGAAGTGAAGAAAGGCAAGGAATAGTTTAATCCCACATTAGGGAATATTAGGTCCTTCCCAACCAGCTATAAAGGAAGGAACTCCAACAAAATCTCCCGTTTTCATTCCTTATGCTATAGAAAGACGGGACATGTCTGAGCTGCCCCAGCACAGAGCACAGCATGGGCAACCTGATGGAGAGCAGCCAGGTGTGTGCCGGACATCCCTTGTACCTGGAGCACCAGTTCTGACCCACCTGGTCTGCACATGGACAGGGAGCTGTTGTGCCTCTGCTTGAAGCTGGGTTCTCTGAGGAGTTAGTCTTGTACCCATCTCCTTGAAACCTCACTGTATGGATCCTGCAGCTCTTTTGCTTCTGCGGCTTTGGGGCTCACAAAACTATATGAAATGGAGAGAGAAGAGAGATATTAGGTCAAGTAGTCCAACTCATAGGCCCAGCAAAGACTGATCTTCCCTTAATGTTTTTCCTCTGATTTCAGCAGGTAGCTTTACCTTGGTGTTTCTCTGCTTTCTTCTTTTAATCTTCATCTTACACTCTGGCACTGTTTGGGTCTATGTTCAGTTCTCTTAGGGATAATATTAAATGCAGTTGGCTTTGGATTTGCAAAATAATCAGCCAGTACCACTGGCTGTAGTGTCATGTAAGTAGTCAAGATGTAAGATTGTGGCAGATTACTGCACATACGCTAATGAACAACACCAGAGATTCAAACCACTACCCTTGAGGGAAGCCAAAAGCACAGGTGAAGAGCAGTGCATCACAGTCATGATGCAGGAGCATTACCATATGCTTTTAGTGACATATGTGTGACACCTGCTTACCCTGAGGTGCATGCACTGGTTGCTACCTGTTGTGTTCCTTTATGAGAATCATACCCAGAAGATGGAGTCTGTTCCACTTCAGCCAGGAGTAGGGATCAGGCTATGGGGTGGATGGTAATGTTCCCTGTTTAGATTGAGATGGCAGGTGTCACTTTCTCTCTTTTTAAGAAATGGTTATCTATACGGACAGGTGGGTTAAGGTCCATTATTACATCCACAGTACTCCTCATGTTCAAAGCTCTCTATGCATATTATCTATGAATTCCTGTAAACATCTCCATGAATCATGATTCTGTTCTTCCCCTACAGATGTAAAAACTTAAAAATCAGGGAAAGCAACCAGCCCAGCTTACCTAACCAGAAAGTTTCAGATCCAGAATTAAGATCCTGAGCAGCATCCCAGCTTCACTGTAGAGCACTCTGCTCCCAAATGTCCTCTGCTGAGGACAGTGGATCTGAAAGCTACAGACAGGCACAGGAAGTTTAGACATTCAAGATAGTTGTCAAAAGCATGTTCCTATAACCAAATAGTTTCTCTTTCTGGTTCCAAACTACTTATCTTTTCCTATTCTACACACTGCCAGCCTATTTCTAATGCATTCTCCACAAAGTCCTGCTGTCCTCTTTTTTTTTTTTTTTTTTTTGGTGTCCTTTGCTAGCGGCCCTACTTCTTTCCTGTTCACTTGCTCTCACAAAGTTCTTCTCTCCATCCCTGCAGCTGAGTATTCCAGGCTGACTGCCACCTGCCACACTGACAGCTGATGGTGCACTGAAAAAAAATATGAAAGAAATTATGTTTAACATTATAGATGTTAGAACAAGAGAAGAGATAAAATAGGCCTAAATGAATGTGGCATGTGTCAGTCTCGGTTTCACACACTGCCAGTAGGGTGGGTACCTTGTCTCCAATAAAATGGTGCTTCACAGCCTAATCTCCAAATGGACAGTCTTGTGATAATCCAAAATACATCTGTGCTAAGAGACAAATGAATTTTCATTATCACACACATTTTTCATCCTGAAGCCCCTTGTGTGTTGTTATTGTTGTTATTATTATTAGCGTTTTCCATACACACTTTGCTTGTTTGCTTATGCAGTCAGTTTCACGGCACTCTTTGCTGTTACAAATGGTACAGCAGCCATTCCATATGGATTTCGGAGAAATCCAAAGAGACCTCATCCCAGTTCATCTTTCTTACAGTGAATCTGGTGTGTTCTGGGACAAAATGGTAGGAGATTACTTGGCTTTGTGTGGATATTAGTGATATGTAAATAGTTTATATACTTTGCCAGGGATGCTCAGTGACTCAAATTAATGTTCCATGGTAACTGAGGTCACACCAGATGCTTTCCCAAGCCTTCCCTTACTAAATACAACCAAGATTTTGCAGGATAATCAAGCTTCATGTTTAGATGATCTGTAGTGTTCTGAGACACTGGGAATTCTGTGTACTATCTACCTGATCAGGAGAAGGTAATGATTTATAATTAGCTAATGTGTTCTCATTGCAACATCTAATAGTAGATTAGAAAGATGCAATGGAATTTGGGACACAGCGTTCTCATTGTGCTTTCTGATGTTACTAGGCTAAAACCCATAGTGTTGGCATAAAGTCATAGCAGAATCTACAGCGGGATTTTTGTGGCTGAAGCTTCACCTTAACTGCACTAAACTGACTTTATAGCTTTAGTCATTCCTTTCTCTAATTGTAAGAGAGGTGCTCAGGCAGCAGGTTTTTAGAAATCATGGTACTTCATCCAATTTGAACCAAATAAGGCCATAATTGTCAACAAATGTTTTATGGATCTTATGGCCTTTTTTTGTTTGCTGGTTTTAAACTGGGTATTTCTTTATAAAAACAAAGGATACATAAGTAACTGAACTTTATGCTAATGTCAGTATTTTGATTAGCTAAACTGATTAATTCTACAATAGAAAGTAACAGAGGGATAGTGGAGAGAGACAGAAGCAGAGATGAAAAGGGATTGAGGGACAAGATGAAACTACAGATAGAAGGAGTCAAGGGGAAAGTACAGTGTCAAAAGAGGGAAAATTAATACAGAATTACAGCTTCATACATTTTGGAAAACAGGTCAAAAGGACGTGTAGTTAAGATATGATTATATTATGAGTGGCCATAGAACAAACTGTCGGAGCTCTCCTGTTTACCTTTCATTGCCATGCAATAACAGAGACATAAAGTGAAATTAAAAAGCTGCAGACGAGAGACAGTTTAACAAATATTCTGCTGTGCAGTTTATAGCTAATCTATAAAGCTGTCTTCTACACAGTATTCTTGGCAAAAATAATTGTTTTTAGAAGTGTCAAATTTTACATGAATTAGCAGAGTAAATGCATTAAACTAACTAGTAAAAAGCTGTAGGGATTAATATTCAGAATTCATGGCAAAAAGTTGCTCCTGGTGGTTGCGTCAAGAAAGAACCTATTCCCTTATGCATGATGAGAGTTTACAGTGTGTCTAAAGCTCTGTAAAAGGTGGTTTTTTTCCTGGTTAGTTCTAGAGACAGGTTAGAGACTACTTGAATCATTGATTTGTTACAATTAATTTTTTTCTAAGAACAGTTAACAGGAAAAAAAATCCTGGAACTACAGAAATGTACAGTGGGTTTATTACCCGTACCATCAGAGCCAGCACTGTACCCTATAGATCCTGGCAGAATAATAGGGTCTGGCACGGAAGAATATGTTCTAGTACATGGAATGATGATCAAGATTTGTATAGGAACAGGGACAAAGAGGGAACTTGTTCATAAATAATAGTCATTACTCCATTACTGGAGTCTAATTCAGCTTCAGGTAGCAGGAGCAAATTCATCCAGCAACTTTTATCAGAACTGAGCACGGACTGTTAGGGTAATAACCTGTATCTATTACAATTGCACAGCTAAGACACAAACGTGGAAACAGTCAGTACGTACAAATGTCTTCATATTTCTTGGGCTTGTGGTATCTTCAGGATACATACTTCTAATTCTAAGAGCTATGGAGCTGCTGGAAATGTAGTGTTATTATAGTCCCATAATGTCAGAAACAATTTATATTACCTTCTGCTTTCCGATTAACTGTACACTAGGCACTGCTGGCATAATACAACCCTGCAATTCTTACTTAAACCTGTACTTTTGCTGTGCTCATCTGTATTTATTACATCAGGAAGCAGTAAATCAAATAAAAATGGAACGGTATCCCCTATATACTGTTAATAAAGTGAATCCTCTCTCTCTTTTTATTTTATACCTATGAATACAGTTTTCAAGCAATTGTAGGA